GAAGAACAGCTGCGAGCGCAACGCCTCGGTCAAGTTCGCCAGCTACAGCACCGACATAGAAGTGTTCTGTCACACTATCCCTCGGCGCATTTCCTCTTGCCGGACCCACATGACGGTCACCCAAGCCAAGACTCGTGGCAGAGTCGAATGCACGGAGCACACACGCTACTCCTATCTCTCGAAGTGGCGGATCCCGCTCGCTTGCGACACGATGCTCGAAAGATTTATGCCCAAGTCTTGGAGGACGAAAAGGATCTGATCGACGACCTGCCAGAGACTACGTCGTTTCAGTGCAACTCTTCGGCAGAATCTGCATGGATACATACCTTTCTGGACAAGCTGCAAGTGATCGATGCCGTGGCTGAGATAAAGGACAGAAATAAAACTGCGGCTGCAGGAGAACATGCAACTCGGACTGTTCATCGCCAGACGGCACTTCGTCTTTTGATCGCCATGCACGCAACTACTTTTGAAACCCATCCGACCTTCCATCGTCTCCTACCTTTCGCTGATGACGAAAGCATCAGCAAGCGTGCCTGGGAACATCAGCTCTACGTGATTCGATCTCTCCTTCGTCTTGTACCTCAAGGTGACCGAACGGCATCGCACAACTTCATCCTCGGCTTCTACAAGGATGTACTGCGGCGACAGCCAGCATTGCGAGATGCCTTACCTAACCCAGCTGAAGAAGATAAGAGAATCGACGAGTGGGCTGACATCTTCCTGACGGCTGTGCACAGTGTGATGAGAGCAGGCTGAAACCGGACCGGCGTCGTACAGTATATACATCACAACGCGATCAGCATGGCGGATGCACAGTGTACAGAACGAGACCCATGAGAAATATTGATCGCAGTAAAAAGTGAAGATGCCTTGCCACACCATGCTTGGCTAGGAGGTTCGTATTTCCGGAGGTTTGAGGCTGCATATCCAGGCAACCTTTAATCCAAGCCACCGACATGAAGGGGAGCCCACAAAAGCCAGAGAAGTGTCTAGAAACGCCGTTTCCAGAAATGCAGGGTTTTTGGGTTGTCCAGGGCCTTCCAAATGGGGGCGAGCCCACAAAAGCCAGAAAATGTTCGATTTCACAATAGGCGCTCAATTAGAAACGCTGTTTCCAGGAATGCCTAGAATTTTCTAGGTTTTTGGCTGTCCCAGGCCCCCCAAATGCTGGGGAACCCTACAAAACATTTGCGATTTCATATTAAACACTCAATTAGAAACGCCGTTTCCAGGACTGACTGGATTTTCTGGGTTTTTGGCTGCCTCCACAAAAGCCAGAAAATGGTCGATTTCATATTAAACACTCAATTAGAAACGCCGTTTCCAGGACTGACTGGAATTTCTGTGTTTTTGGCTGTCCCATGCCCCCTAAAGAGGAGCCCACAAAAGCCAGAAAATTACAGATTTCACATATAAATAATCAATTAAAAACGCCGTTTCCAAGAATGCCGGGAATTTCTAGGTTTTTGGCTGCCCCGGGGTGGGAGCCCACAAAAGCCAGAAAATGGTCGATTTCACAATAAACACTCAATTAGAAACGCTGTTTCCAGGAATACCTGGAATTTCTAGGTTTTTGGCTGCCCCAAGCCCCCAAAAGGGGTGGAGCCCACAAAAGCCAGAAAATGGTCGATTTCACAATAAACACTCATTTAGAAACGCTGTTTCCAGGAATGGGGGGAAGCCCACAAAAGCCAGAAAATTGTCGATTTCATAGTAAACACTCAATTAGAAACGCCGTTTCCAGGACTGACTGGATTTTCTCCGTTTTTGGCTGCCCCAAGCCCCCCAAATGGGGGGAAGCCCACAAAAGCCAGAAAATTGTCGATTTCATATTAAACACTCAATTAGAAACGCCGTTTCCAGGACTGACTGGATTTTCTTGGTTTTTGGCTGCCCCAAGCCCCCCAAATGGGGGGAAGCCCACAAAAGCCAGAAAATGGTCGATTTCATATTAGACACTCAATTAGAAACGCCGTTTCCAGGACTGACTGGATTTTCTGGGTTTTTGGCTGCCCCAAGCCCCCCAAATGGGAGGGAAGCCCACAAAAGCCAGAAAATGGTCGATTTCATATTAAACACTCAATTAGAA